AGAATGGCCCAACTGCAACATATGCGTGCAGCTATGGCCCCTGGAATACAAGGGCCAGAGGAGCTGAGGTATTATGCTCATACAATGATGGTGAAACAGGCTGCAGTGGGAGCAAAGGGAGTTACAAAAAGCCATGCACTTCTCTGGAGAGGAGCTTAAATTGACTTAATTTCTTTTTTGTTGTTTTTGCTGGCTCGTTCTCTGGCACTCAGCGTACCCACAGAGACTGGCACATACCAGGATCCCAGAATGCGCTTAGCCTAAGGTGTGAGGCTGTGCCAGGATTTCATAGGATTGGGACTGACTGGATAAGTTTATCCCTGCTTCTTTGAGGCTGCAGTGCAAGTGCAAACTGTACATGGAAAATCCTTGGGCTGTCAAGTGGGAGATCATGGCTAAAATGAACATCTGTGAGGATAGGCAGGAGCAGGCTTTTGATCGTGCCTTGAGACTGTGCTTGCAAGTTTGCATGTCTTGAGCATGGTTCTTCTGCAGCTGGCCCACACAGCAGGCTGCATGGTTGCCTTCACCACTCTCTTCATGAAGCAGCAACTTGGCCTGGTGTTTTACCCATTATTTTGCCCATGTTTGGCACGGGGCCTGGGAAAGGCAGAGGAGCTTTGCTTCCACACTGCAGAGAGCCCTCCCCTGCTCCTGTGAGCCTCCAGGCCAGTGGTCAGCTGCAGTGGCTGACCCTGGTCCCCCTGGGGAGGCCCTCTCACTCATGGGGGATTGGATCCAAGGGACAGGAGTGCCTTGGGAAGACTGTATCTACAGGTGTGTCACTCCTGAGGTAGAAAGAGAGGTCCAGAGAGGTCCCTAGAAGTCTGTAAGGGACACATAGATATAGTGGTCAGAGACATGGCTTAGTGGTGGATCTGGCAGTGTTAGGTTAATGGCTGGACTTTATCTTGGAGGCCTCTTCCAACCTTAGTGATTCTAGGATTCTTGAAATCACTAGCAAAGGCCAGGCTCTGCTTGGCTGTGGCCCCACCACGCTGGCTCCAGGTCTCCAGCTGCAGGGCATGCAAGTCACAGTGCTATTGGAGTTGTTTGTGGTGAGTGTGCAACTTTCTGCCACTCACCCTTTAGGTTCCTGCCCAGACTATTAGGGACATAGGAGGAAGATGCAGTTCTGAAGTGACTTTCAGTATCAAACAAAAAAGTTCCAGTTCTCTCACTGATGACTGGTCAGTCAGTGCATTTTGGGACTGGAGGCAGTAATAAATGGGATTTTTGTGGCCCAAGATGGGAAGCAGAATTTTTTTAATGTCTAATGAAAAGTCTTAGAGAGAATTAAATGAACCACAGGAAGCCTGATCCAGACACTAACATCACCATCAGTCCTGAAACCCTGGAAGCTGTTCCTTCACTGAAGGCAGAAACTGAGCTGTCAGCTCTTAGGATTATGAAAGGCAAGTAGTTCATGGGGTGCTCGGACTTATGGTTCTGGTTAGGCTTATCTTGTCAATAAATAGGCATATTTTGAACAGCAGGATGCTTACCTTTGACAGTGAAAAGCTCAGCAGCTGCACTGGGATGGGGAAGAGAATATCTCACACGGGAGCTTGTGGAATCTGGGATGAAAAGGCTTGGGCAAAATGAGAGGCATGTGTCAGCACCTCCACGCTGAACATCAGAGATCTCTGCACAACTGAAAAAGATCACAAGGAGCCTCAGTGCCAGAGGCTGGGAGTGGGACCAAGCCTGAGAAACAGGGACTCGTGAGGGTAGGTGGCAGTGGGGTCTGGCTGCACAGTGATAGGGCAGCTGGGTTCCACACCACCCTTGTAAAGCCTGCTCAGCTCCCAGCTGCATGGCTGTGCAGGCATTTCATCTTGTTTCAGTCAGCTGTGGCTTCTGTGGGGTGATATTTCACTGTAAGGGAAAGGGGTATTTCTCTAAATGTTATATTTGTATAGTAAGGAAAAATAATGTGAATTTTTTCCTTTCTTAGAAAACACTGTTGTGTTGTGGAGGTAGCATGAGTGGCCTCATCTGTCTCTCCCTGCTTGCAACATTTATTTATCACATTGATAAAAGATAGGCTTGGCAGATCCCTGTGAAAGAGTGACTATGGTCTGCTAGTCTTTCATTCATCCTCAGAGTGTAGCTAACTTTCCACAGATATTTAAAACAAGGACATTTAATCTCTAGCACAGTTAAAAGGCTTATGTGTTTCTGGTTTAGAAGTGAGACACATTGGCAACGCTTCTTATTTATTTTATTTGTTTGCCCCAGCTTGAAAACTGAGTAGTCAAAGGGAGAGTTCTCATTTTAATGTGCTGTGGGACTGAGTTGCTTCAGTGAAAGAAGAGACTGTCGTGAAGTTACTGATGCATAACTCCACTTTTCCACATTAGTCTGGTCTTTGGCTACAGGGATTTCATCAGGATATTTTTTTCTAAATATTAGCAAGAGATGTTAGTCCTTGAGCATTGATTGGTGGATTAATCAAAGCCCTTAACCAATCAATAGGTAGAGGTTTGCATAAAAATGGAATTATTTCTGAAGAACTGTGCCAATTGGAATTGCAAAACTTTCTGCTTTGATTTGCTTCTTGAATGGCTCTGCTTTATCTACCTCTATTGCTCACCCTTTCAAAGTACTTAGTAACAATGAAGGTGCTTCCAAATTCCTACATCTTTCATTTTTTTTGTGTGGCTTCGGGGTGTGGAGGGTGGAAAAGGAGGGAACTACCAATCAATAAAACCGAAATAGTTTGCATACAGAAAAAATGAAAAATGAAAAAAAAAAAAGAGAGAGAGAGAAAGAAAATGGCTTGCATTCTTGTCTCCTTACTTTTCCTAAAGCTAAAAGTGTGATCTGAAGCTCATATTCCTTTTCTTTTCTTGTCTACCTTCCCTCTGGGACTGTTTGCATGATTTCTCTTCCATTGTCGATACTGTAGCAGTTCTGACCCCTCACTAGCATCTTTTGGTTACTGGAGAGGAACTAGCTTTTGGATGTGTATAAATGTAAATTGATGTGAGAGGAAGGAAGATGACTGCAGGGAAAGACTGAAAAGGGAAAGAAGGTTTTTCTAGATTTGAAGTTTGTAGCTTCAAACAGTTGAATCTGCAATAAGTTCAGTGTTCATGTGTCTGGTGTTCCTCTCCTCTCTTCTGCCCCTTAGTGTAAGACATGGTAATACTTTTATGGACAGCTTGAAAACATTCCTATTTTTGGTCTTTTGTTTATGTTTTGTAAAACAGTGAAGAATTCATCATGCACGGTAATGTGTTGTGTCATGGGGTAGTGAGTGTGGAGATGCAAAGCTAGAATGCAATGGTCATTTGCCAGTATGTCCAAAGACAAGCATCCATAGCCCTGAGATCAGAATCCACATTAGACAGTACAACAGCCTTACATGCCTCCTGATTTTGGACCTTTTGGGGTCCATTTTCAGTTTTTTGTCTCATCCAAAAAGGCTGAAATTGCCCTTGAGCCTGGGGTAAGAAAAGCTAAAAACTTCCTTCAGCTTCTGATTCTGGTATTTAGCTACATTAGATTTGCCTTAGTCATTCTTGTCCCTGCAAAGATGGTGTGTGTGTATCATAGCTTGAAGCAATTTCTCTTTCCAGTATTGAAGCCTTGAATGTACAAGGCAGTGATAGAGCAGACATCTTGGTTTTATCCTGTCTTCATACATCTTCTCAAAACAGAATGCATGATTGTGTTTGACAAGGCACATTCTCACTGATTTTAATGGAGTGTAATTTGAAACTAGTTTAGTTAAACCAGGGCAGATGGCTGCAGGACTGTGTGTAATTTCATAACAGTGCAAGGTTGCAGCCCTGCTGCAAGGTTATTAATCTGATTTTAGGACAACTCAGGAAAAAAAGGGTATTGCTGTTGTCAACTCAGTGTTGAACAAGTACAAATTAATTCTGCCCATTAAAATGTGTAATAAAAAGAATTAAAAACTCTGTCTCAGAGAACTTTCCCAGAGAAGATATACTGTGGATTACTGCACAGTATAATGATTGCATCTTATATTTTTGGTTATTTAACATTAGCTGAAATTATGTAGTAATGCCTGATCCCAGTCAGGCTTATACTGGCAGGTAATCAGATATTATGTAAACCTTGTATCAATCAAAATGGACAGAGCCATGAAAATCTGCAAGAGCATAACTAAATTGATTTAATGCAATCAAGACCTGGTTGTCTGTAAACAAGAGGTTTTTTACTGCTTTAATACGCTTATTTTACATATTGCATCTATGTCTCTTTCATGTTGTTTTGCAGTAATTCGGCGAGCAAGAATAGGAGTTGGGGTAGTTACCAAAATGGAAAGTTTAGCCTAAAGATCTGAAATAGAACAAGAGAGCTGCTTTCAAATTCGTTTTTTCAATTATTCATGCTACAGGCTTTGTTTTATAAGATTTTTTTGATTTAGTCTCAGAATAAACATGTGACCTATCTCACTAGGACCATCAGTTGAACTGCAGAACTCCCACTCCTGCCCCCGGCCCAGTTAGATCTTACTGTTCATTATTATGAAAGAAGAAGGGGAAAGAAAAGGAAAAAGACACTATGAAAAGTGTTCTGTGTTTTCAAGCAACCTTTTTCACAATGAACAGGCTGAATGAGAAATGTTCAGGCTGGAAAGCACATCTGCTTAAAATAGATATTGAATTTTTGTTCTTTATTTATGTTAACATTAGCACATTTGTGGAAATCACATTTTTTTCACAATCTCTTTGCTAAATTAGGACACAAATACAAGAATACTTGTGCATGAGAGTCATTTTCTATAAATTAGTAGTGCCACTGAGTTCAATAAGAGCAATCACGCACAGAATTACGCACATGCATGAGAGTTTGCAGAAATCTGGCAAATACGTTGCTGTCATGAAAAGATTACCCAGCTTTTTCTTCCACTGCAGCTCTGAATTCTTGGCTTGGTCCTATTTTAACTGTCCCTTATTGCAGGAACCACAAGCTATTCTATTATGTTAAGCCTAACTGAGGATATTTCTCTTATTTTGTCGTAGCAACAAGAGCAAGATCCCACAAATCTATACATCTCAAATTTACCCGTGTCCATGGACGAGCAGGAACTGGAGAATATGCTGAAACCCTTTGGACACGTCATTTCCACCAGAATATTAAGAGATGCGAATGGAGTCAGCAGAGGAGTCGGCTTTGCCAGGTGAAACCTTTGCTCTTACTTTGATTCATGCACATTTTTTCACCTTTGGTCCTTTGGAAATGCTGTCTGTTCTGTAGCTCTGAAGTCTCACAGCTATGGAAGATGCAAAGCAGCGCCTTGATCCCATTGTATCCGTTCTTTCTACCAAGAAATGCCAGTGAGGAAGGATGTTCATTCCATTGCTCTAAAAACCAGTTCATACATGTATATATATATATGTATATACCTATAAATAAAAATGGCTATGAATAGTGAGTTATCCTTTCAGGATCAATCTCGGGTAATAATAAATGTCCTATTTGCAAAAAGCAAATACTTGGTAAAGAAACCAAGGCCTGTGCTTAGGAGGTCCCAGGGTGAACTTATTGCAGTCTTTCAGTACCTGAAGGGGTCCTTTAAGAAATCTGGAAAGAGACTAGATAGTCTTTAAGGTCCCTTTCAACCCAAATCATTCTATGAAACTGTTTAAATATTTGCCAAAGATTTTGCAACAGGAGAAAGTAAATTTAGCAGCTAGAAGAGCAAAGGGTAGGAACTGTAACTGAGGAAACGTGTCTTTCTTGAAAGCTGCAGCTTCCTTGAACTGCAGCTAAGAAAAGAGCTTAAGAAGAAATATTTGCATAGAACAAACCCTCATGGAGTAGTCAGACATTTTAGACAGAATGGGCAACATATTATTACTATGTACTTCATTGTTAGTACAGATAGACAAGGCTCCATGTTTACTCTCAGGGAATATTTACATAGATTCTCTTCAGCTTGAAACATTCTCCAATCAAACAGGTTTTTTTTCAAAAGCCAAGAAATAGAGTGCTATATATAGAAAGGTATTGAAAAAACAAATAAGGAGAGAAATTTGCAATTCTGCTGCAAATCAGTCTTCTGCTTCAAAGGAAAAAGGGGAAAAAATCTCAGATCATTGTTTCAACAGAATATTCATAACACTGTGCTTTGTAGAGGAGGCAGAATGACTTCTTCGTCTTGCAAATTTCTCTGAAATCCATCATATCTTGGTATATCATGGCACTTCTGTTAGAGTCATAATACCACTGAGTGAAATGAGTTATGGTGTGATAAAAAGTTAGCTTTCAAGAAAAATGACATTGCAGTGTTACTGCTGCCCTTGATGAGAAAGGTCAACATGCACAAAAAATGTTAAGATAATATGGTCTGAATTCAAATGGGAAAAGGCAAAACATTTATGGTGAAAGATGGCATACTGATCCTTGTGCATTCTTGCAGATAATAACATGAATTTTTCTAGCTCACTAAATATAGATTAGTCTAAGTCATGGATAAACTCGCATTTTTGAAAATTGACTTACTTTGTGAAAATGTATTTAATTATGGAACATATTTCAGGAACCCTTTAATGATCTAACTTGTAGGTTGTGTAATTCACCATGCAAACAACAGTAGGGTAAGACCTTCACTCCATCAAAGTGTACAGTCCCACTAATTTGAGTGAGACTAAATCATCCAGGAATTTAGAGTCATAGTTGAATGATGACTCCTGTCTTTGCTGAATTATCAATACAATAATTTAATTTTACATGACCAACTGACTTTCTTCTTTTTTTCTATAGCTTTCTGTTATATTTTCCCTGTATATCAAACCAAACAAAGGTTGTTAATTCCTTTAGCTTTGCTCGTAGTCATCAAGTCACTAGGTATTCTAGTGTACCTATGGCATGAGCACATGTTGAGTGGGTACAGTGTAGGGTACAGTGCAGTATAGGCAGGGGATGGAAACTGGATTTCAGTCCAAATAAGATTTTAGGAGTTCAAATCAGCACTCCAGGTGAAGATCCTGGCTATTCTGACCTGGGAACTTTGATCACAGTATATCTTGCCTGCCTGTGGAATGTGCCATGATGCTTAACATAGCTCTAAGCAGAGCCACAGAAGCACCAGGGAAAAAGTTACATTTGCATATGCTGAAATGATGCAGCATACAATCATTTTGAAATGTGATGTTTCAAAGCTATTAATTACATTTTATGATGATTAAAAGTCACTTTCTGAGTCTGCCCAATCATAGAAATAGTCAATCTCAAAATAAGTATATTCATTCAGAAGGCAATCAGAAGTAAAGTCTAAAGGTAGGCAGCTATTGTCAGATTTTTCTTCTAAGTGGGTATGATTAGCAGTATTATAGTACTGCAGGTGGCTACTTAATCATTTATAACCTGGAGAACTTCAAATGTTCCTGGATCAAAATGTTCTTAGTTCCGTCTGGTGACATTAACAACCCTCTCAGACTATGTGCATACACATAACTAGATCTGAGTGAAAGTTAAGCCATGAAACAATTTCCTCTCTTTTGCACCATTCAAAAGCAACTGAACAGATTTTCCTGAATCTTTTCCATTTCAATGTGGCCAGAGGCAACAGTGCCTGGGTACACCCCAGGGGAGATTTTGGGGAGGAGAGTTATGAGCAAGGGGCCAGAGAAGGGAAATTTTAGACTTCGACTGTGGCTTCATAAAAGCTAATCCATGCTATAACCTCTGCACATCTGCTTCTGCCTGACCCCTGGCCCATGCTTTTTACTTCAAGGCTATATTACCTGCCTTCAGACTCTCCGTGGGAGCTGGCATTCCACAGGGCTCGCACTGCTGTGGTCTTTTGGCAGGGGTGCTTCTGCTGACACTGTCAAGCAGAAACTGAGACTAGACACAGCCTATCCTAGAGCAGAGAGAGAAATGAGAAGAAATAGGAGGGGGCAGAAATTCTTACTAGAAGTAGGATGTTGGAAAAAAGGAGGCACTTCTTTGGATGTGAAGCTTTGAGTTCAGTCTGTTGTAAGATTGCCTTTTAAAAGAGGGAATGACACCGTGATGCCCTTGTCATCACAGCACTTAAATTTGTGGATGTTTTTCTTAAATACCTGTTCTTGGGAGTCATCTACTAATTTCAGCAGCTGATCTTTCATTTTGAAAGTGTAAGTGCATTCTTCAGAGCCTAGAACATAATCATAGTCTTTCATCCTTTAATAAAACAAAAAAAAACAACAAACCAGCAATATGAAACAGAACAAAACAATACAAAAGAAATAAAAAAAGGAAAAAATCCACAGAAACTGTATTTGAAGACTTATTGCAAGATATAATTTTAAAGTTGATATTTTATGTGTTTGGCAAACAACATTGGTGGTATTGTTGATGGTATGACTAAAAATCAGATCAGAGATAGTAAGGTCTTTGAGGGAGGCTGGAATTACTGGATAGGGAAAGGTATTGAGAGCATGGAAGGAAATATTTATCTTCATCCTGAAGTGTTGCCACTTATAAAGAGATAACTGTATGTTCTGGAAGACCTGGCTTTCCACAGGCCCATAAAGGATGAGTTTCAGATGTTAAGGTGAAAAGCATGTGGTGCTGTTTTGCTAAATAAAAGGTGGAATATTTAGAGAGAGATTTCTGAGGATCAGTGATGTTGCTACATTGGAGACATAGAAGTCAGCAGCACCAGGGGATAAATAACATTCAGTCAGTTTAGGGATTCATTTGTGAAGAGGTAAAGTGCTTTGTTCTTCCTTATTCAAGGGTTTAATTGAAGGTGATTTGAAAAGGTGCTATAATTTAACTTGAATAAGTCCAGCATCTGGGATGGTAGTAGAGGCTTAGATATTATAGGGATCATTCCTACTTTCAGGCAGAAAAATGATTTGTCACATCTTGCATCTTACCTAGGAAATTGCGTATCTCAGGATATCCCAGGATAATTGAATATCTCAGGTGAAACAGGAAATCCCAAATATGCTCCAAAGCCTTTTTGTGTTATCTGTAAAATATTCCAATGCCTGTGGTGATACATTTCCTTTGAAAGGCCTCCCTGGAAAAGTCTCAGAGCAACACTGCAGGTGGTGAGGAGTTCTGTGTGGGGATGTGTCTCTGAGACCCTCATATTTTCATCTGCTGTTGCAACCTGGAAAAATTTTGGTGGACTTTGTGAATCCCTAAGAAAGTTGACAGGCATGAAGCATCACTTTCAGGGAGAAGCAAACTCCCTGAAAGGAAGGACAGATGGGTCAGGATCCCTAGACAAATATAAATGGGACTCCATAAGATGAAAATGAATGTGCAGCTCTGGAAGGTGATAAGGGAGAAAGCTGGAAAGTTGGGAGCCATCAGATAATTTGGCTGAGCAATTTGCATAATCCAAGCCTGAGGTACCATGAGTCCAGTTGAAGAGCTCCTTGGGCTTTGGAAAAGGGAGCAAGGAGATATTGGTATATACCTTGAGGAGGGACTTAACTGGTAACACTGAATCAATGAAATAAAAATTGTTTTTTATAATCCCACAATAAAATACCATTCAAGTATTATTTAAGTATCTTCCCTAAAGAGACAGTAGTATTAATAACACCATACACAGGTTTGTCACACTCAGCTGAACAGCAGAACAGCAGAACAAGAATTTTATAGGTCCTTTTAAATGATGAAGTGCAAAGAAAGAGTTAGAAACCTCTAACTTTTTTATTTTGTTTGCTGTCTTGTAACTTAAAACGACCTTGCAAGATTCCTCCCCCAAGCGACATTTTACAACGAAGTCATAAGCTTCTGAAAACAGAAATTTATGATGGAAATGCTGACAGTCAGACAGTCAAGTATTGCACTGCTGGCGGGCAGCAGTATAATACTTAACCTGAGACTGTGAAGACAGTAGCATAAATCAGCCTAGGTCTAGGTGGAGATGACTGTGTGTTCACACTATTCTTTTCCAGTAACACGAGAAAATCTGTACAACACAAATGGTCATAAAAGAATGTTATGGTGCTGTTCCCAGCAAATGACCAAAGTCAAGGGATTCTCAATTAGCTGTCACCTCAGAGCAAAGGTACACATCAGGGAGAGGCTTCCATCCCTTTGTGACCTAGCTTGGGGACATCTGTAGTGAGGCATTTAAACACTCTGCTGTTGGGAGTTTGGGCTTCATCCTCATTTTTTCCCTACCTTATTCTTCTGGAAAAGCTTCTAATGGGTTGCTTTTCTTTG